GGAAGGATCAACACCAATATGTATCGTCGGTTGCCCGCTAATTTAATTTGGCTACAGGGCCAACAATTCGTCTGCTCAAGGGAAATTTGCTGTGAAGTAAACGTTGTTAAGAATCCGTTTAACATTTGAATATATTTTATTAATGGAATTGGTGTTGCAACACATCAATAATCAACAATTTAACATTTGAAAACTGCCAACTAAACTTAAGAATTATTAGTACTAGTGGTCGAGGCACACTCAATGCATGTACACTACGTTAATATGATATACCAAAAAAAATGATATCCTAATAAATAGATCCTTATAAAGGTTCATCTTTTACCATCAATGGTTCAAGAAATATGCACTCCTCAAATTAGAAAAAGGGAAGGTAAAAAAAAAGGCATGAAAGGGAAATTTGCTATTAAGTAAACGTTGTTAAGATTGCAGAAATATCCCACAACTAAACAGAAGATCCTCAAGTTAATAAATACTATATGCAAAAAGAAAAGGTAAGTTAAAAAAAAGTACCTATACATATGTTGGAATGTGAAGGCTGAGGCTCTTTCAAATTTAAGAAGTCCAAGCCAAATTGCATCCCAGAATTGACAACAAAGAATGAACTTTGCTCCATAGTTGGTTTTGTTCTCCTTGAAGCCACGAAAACCGAGTTTTGTATTAACATTTTGTGATGCTAAATTCTTTTCTCTAGTTTTTTTTTTTTTAATTATTGAAGTTGGCAATCCTAGAAAACTTAGAGGAGAAAAGAATGCATGGTAACACCAGTTGGCTGGGGATATGGAAGTTGTTCGAGATGGTTGCATGGTACTTGACTAGGGGAGCATGGAAATTGAAATTGTTGTATGGTGCTCCATCATGCATAGGCAAAATAGGGATAACACATAATGACAAGATTTTTTAATGCCAAACCCAGCATAACATTGAACAATTAAGTGCAGTGTACAATAAGCAAATTCAGAGAAAAGCTAAGGATGGCAAGAAAACTTTCACTACTGTCAAGTGTCAACACCACTACTGATCTTCTTGAATTCTTGACCATTTGGCCCTTGACACTATTGATGACCATCATGAACCTCAATATACCTATCTAGAGGCTCTATCCCTCAATGATAAGGTCATTCTTGTTGGCCACAGCATAGGTAGTGGCTGTGCAGTTTCCTCTGCCATGGAAAGATTTCCTAAAAAAGTAGCATTATGCGGCATCTATTGCAGCGTTTATGCTTGGACCTGAACTGAGCACACACAAACTCGAGGTGCATTACAATCTGGGGATAGATATTTACGAAGACAGCAAATTTACAACAGATGGAATCCCTTTTGATCTTCCATTAACTCTCCTGTTTGGGGCTAACTATAGTGAAAGACGCATCTTTGTTGATGAGAGAGGCAAAGTTCTTCAACGATGATGAATTGAGACGACAACTTCTGGTTACAATGCAGAAGTTTGGATTAATTGCTAGAGCTTGTCCTGTTGCCAGAGAAGATAAGGGAATACCACCAGATCTCCAAAGGTGGATGGCACTACAAAATAATCCGCCTGATTTGGCTACACTAATTAATGGAGCAGATCATATGTTCATGATCTCTAAAACCAGAAAAGCTCTACAGCTATTTGCTCCAAATTGCTGTGCAGTTGATGAATCATGCTTCTAGCTAGTCAGTCAACATTGTATTTTATGGCTGGCGTAAAATTTTACTTTTTTTTTTTTGGTGTGTTTGCAAGTCTTTGGATCCTTTATTTTCGTTATATCTTTTGTTACTTATGAAGAGCATTGGTGTACACATGTACAATGGTGGATCTACCTGCCAAAGGAAACTTTCACTTTTAGGTATAAAATTTTTTTAAAATTTTATTTTTGCCTTACCAATTCATCTATGTATCCCTCCTGACCAAAGTAAAATATACATTGCACTATTGCAGGTATCAGACGGTAGAAAATTTATGTTTTTACCCATATAATTAGTAGAAGTTCAATACATTATGTACCTACGAGTAATTTGATAACATTTTTCAATTAAAAAAGTGAATACTACAAGAACAAATTCAATACTTTAGGGAGTTTAGTTTACTTGTAAGCTTTTCTATATTAAGAAAAAAAAACGTACTTTAATGAGTTAAGAGCATTAGAGGATTCTTTATATTCTCTTATTTTATTCTTTTTAATAATGCATGTTGCTAATTGCCCTATACAAATATTATTATTGCGCCTTTCTTTTTCTTTACTGCAACCTAAACCAATTATTCTATCCAAAGCTGTTTTACCTGTTGATTTTCTCAAACTAATAGGCCCAGTGCACACAAATAATACTTAAACTCATATGTATTATTAGCAAATACAGCACAGTACTTTTGGGACACAACCAATTAATTGATCACAAGAAGATATGCAGCTTCAAACAACAAGAGTTGATGACTTGACCAACTAAAACTCTAAAGAAAGACAAGGCAACTACCTTCTCGCTATTCTTCATTTGAGGTATACTCTGTCGTACATATATGTGACTACAGCCGGAAGTGAAACACTTGAACAATGTAACATTTTTTTGAACGTTCTGTAATTGAGTAAATCTTTCCTATACTAATTGTGTATATACTATCACCGTTAGATCTGTGAAACATATACAAAAATTGAATTTCAAATTTAAATTTAAATTTTGCATAGTTGTCATTCATCCAACGCTGACAGTGTATACACTGTCCGTATTAAAAAGATTAATCCTTTGTAATTTTATGTAAACTTTTTGTACATCCTTACAACAGAGGTGTGATATTTTGTTACTATTTATATAGATCTCATATATAATAATTGTGTCTCTATTATTAAATTTTTCAAGTAATTTACGTAGAATTACGCCTTATTCAAAAAATATTATATCGTTTAAAATGATTGTTACTGATAACTATTCGTGCCCTTGATCCGCTAGAACCCAAGAGGGCAGCGCACTTACCTTACATTTGATTAACACTTGGGGCTATTTATAGTTTTGATAGGATGGTTAACAAGAAAACTACAAACCCAAAGCTTACTAATGTTGGAAGAGGGGTTGGGAGACGGGTAGGAATGATTGCACTAACAGCATATTTCGTTTCAAAGGAGTTGTAATCTATCACAAATTAACTTTTGCATCTTTTTAACAGGAAAATTAGAGAATTTCGCCAATTTGATCCCTAAACATTTTCACTTAAACCAATTTCGTCCTTAATGAAATATTTTAACCAATTTAGTCCTTGAACTAGTTTTTTACTTCCAATGTAGGACTTTTGACTACATTTTACTCCCTTCGCGTGGACCAACAGGGGTATAATTGTCACACTTGCTTAATCTGCTGCAATTATTCGAAAGACACAGATTACAGATCATATACACCCGAAATTAAACTAGCTATACTCAGGCCACTTCATCGTCAGATGTTTCGATACCCCAAATACAAAGGGCTACCCGTGTTTTTGTGTAATTTAGGCGGCGGCGGCGATGATGAGCTGGGGAGTCGAGCTTTTAGCTTTCCGTTTGTGGGTTTTTCTGGGGTTTTAGATGGAGAGGAGAACTGTGTTAGGAGAATTGCGGAAGTTATGGTACCGAGGGATAATATCAAAGGGAGGAGGAATCCTCTGCTTGTTGGCGCATGTGCTTATGACGCTTTGAGGACTTTCTTCGAAACGCTGCAGAGGAGGCGGGGCTCGGGTATTCTTCCTCTGGAGCTGTTTGGTGTGGGCGTAGTTTGTCTGGAGAATGAGATTTTGAGGTTCGTCAGTGGCACGTGTGAAGAGAGTTTTTTGAAGTTGAGGTTTCGGGAGGTTGATAAAATGGTGGAAAATTGTGTCGGAGCAGGGGTGGTGGTGAATTTTGGTGATTTAAGGGCAATGGCTAAGGAGGACGCGCCAGTTGATGTTCTGAGGCTTGTGATTAGCGAATTGACGAGGCTGGTGGAGATTCATGGAGACAAAGTATGGTTGATTGGAGCGGCTGCGAGGTACGAGACGGATTCGAAGCTTTTGAATATGTTTCCCTGCGTTGACAAGGATTTGGGCCTGCAGCTTTTGCCTATTACTACTCTGAGACTGTCTGCGGCAGAGTCATACCCAAGATCCAGGTACGTTTGCCCTTTTGGTGTCTTTGTGATCGTTTAACTTTTTTCACTTCTAGTTAGTATTAATGTTTGAGGTGTTTTTTGCAATTTTTAAATTGAACACGGAACGCAACCATCAGAGGCAATGGACAATGGCGAATCTGACGCTGTGTAATGATCTGTAATCTGTGTCTTTCGAATAATTGCAGCAGATTAAGCAAGTGTGACAATTATACCCCTGTTGGTCCACGCGAAGGGAGTAAAATGTAGTCAAAAGTCCTACATTGGAAGTAAAAAACTAGTTCAAGGACTAAATTGGTTAAAATATTTCATTAAGGACGAAATTGGTTTAAGTGAAAATGTTTAGGGACCAAATTGGCGAAATTCCCGGAAAACTATATTCATTCACTGTTCAAAACTACGTAGATGTGAGTTGTATCAAAATTACGAGACATTGTTTGGACCTTACATTCTAAATTTCTGCATTATTAATTGGCCAAATATTAGTGACCATACCTTGTTATTGGGTCCCAATCCCTTGCTGCGCTACCCTTTTTGTTTTGTGTTTATGGCGATAAAATATCACCGGAGGAATTACCTACACCGACATTGCTATATATTTTGGTCCAAATTAAACAAATATTGATAGTTTCATTTTGTTTCCACAAATATGGAAACAGAATTCTCAAACTTTATAGTCGACTTAGAAATCAACCTTTTTTTTCTCTTTGTCTCTTCATGCCCAGTCTAACGCCTATTGACAATAAGTTCTTCACAAGGGGTAAAGATTCAGTATTATTTGAGGTTAAGCACTACTTCAACCTAAACTAAGAGTGAGAGTTACGTCTAGAGTTTATACGAACCACCTTTAGAATTCTCCGCATCCTACGTAATGATGGGAGCCATATGTAAAACTAGTAGAGCCCTTGTTAGGATGATATGAACTGGGTTGGAAAGCCTGCATGAGGTTTAGAATGATATGGACTGTCCATGTGAGGATTGTTAAGGCCTTGAGGGGCTGATGTCAACACCCAACATCGGTAAGGATGACCTGGATAGCGTAACCTGCACATAAAGAATTCCTCAAGAGCTTAAGAGCATTGCAAAGCACTAATGTCCAGCCACCTCAAACGAACAATTCTTATATTAGGAAAAATTTTGTACTACATGAACAAGACTTGGACTGACGAAATTCATGTTTATCACAAATAGGATATCTGTGGCTAAAACATTTTGACATGTTAAAAAAATCAAGTTAATGAGAAAAGGTCTGTTAGTGTTGAGGAATGTTTTAGCAATATATAAACAAGATAGTTCCAAATCTCTCTCTAAGGTTTGGAACACATTTAATTTTAAATTTGAAGCCACTAAGACCATGACATGAGTACCTAGTATGATATGTATTCAACTTCAATGATTGGTAATTCAGCGAACTCAACTCAAACCCTCAATTTTGGAGCATGATAAATATTCTATCCCAACAAAGAGCAAGCAAAACAAAAAACAACCACAGTCTACAGCATGGACTAGATATTTGGGTTTACATGTTACTGTTCCCAAAAAAAATATAGAATAATAATGTAACCAAAAAAAAAAAGCTTCAACAATTATTATTGAAATCTCATAATCCTTGGAATACAATCACTGACAATTGCAACCAAACCCAATTTCTCCACAAAACTAGTTAGAAGGGTTTGATACCTTTGTACCATCAGGCGCCCAAGTGCAACAATTTCTGAGCGGAACTGAAGAGCATGAAAAGCAACACGACATCTCAGCCTCTGGTATTCACCCAGGCTATTAGGAAGAATGGACTGCAAGTAGTGACAAAGTAAACACCTTTGGCCAGTTAGGGCAATTAGTGAACTTTGCATATGTAAATTACAGTTAATGTTCAGATGATGCATGAATATATCCTTACATTTGAGATGATGAAAAAGTACACCACATGACAAATACAAGGTTAAGCAAATACATATAAATCAAGGAGGAACCACTTCAGACACTACTTTCACACCTTTTTTATTATGTTCCAGATATAACTAAAAGATCACAGAACTGCAAAATAAATTCTAATGTTAAACTGCAAATTAGGTAATGGTAAATATGACATTTATGTCTTTTCTGCACATTCAAGAAAGTTATAAGAATAAACTATATATTCTCTTCAGGGTTCCTTTCTGATGCTGGAGCATTTTAGATCTTAATTTGTTTTCATTAGTATATTATTTGTTATTATTTGCTGCTAAGCATGCAGTAGCATTATTAACTGTTCTGCACAGCTGGTGCACATCTTCTAGGCAGGTGCCTTATTAAGAGTCTCTCTGTTTTTGTCACTCTTAAGACAACAATATGTTTGGATCCCCATACTCATCTTATTGACTGCAGTCACGCAGTTTTGATATCAGTTCACTACCTAAACTTGTATCAGCTCCCTTGGGCTATTTTGTAGCCTAGAAGCTAATCCCCTTCAAACTCTTATGATTTCTCTTCATCTATCCTAGTAGTCTAGTGCTGTTATTGTAAAGGTCCTTTTAGTTTTCTTGCACAACTATTTCGCATTTGATACGCACATTAGAAGTTCTAGTGTGAACTATTTTCAGAAGGTTCCAAGCCTTTAATACCATCCACAAAGTTCACAAATTTGAGAAGGTGCAACTACGAAAATAATGATCTAACATTCTGCAAAATTCATGTTACTCTACCATGTATGAGCTATACAACACTCTGGTGAGCAAGTATTTCAACTCACTGAACAACCTTAAAGAAAAGCAAAGAAGAAACAAAAGCTGATATTAGTAATCCTACATTCTTCCGTAAAACAAGGGCCACATAAGGACCCAGTTTTCAAAACCAACGTTCAAAAAAATTTAAGAACTTATATCAATTAAGAAGAGTACCAAAGATTAAAATATTCTCATTATGAACTGGCCCGGGCTAGCGTTTTTACAAGAAATATCTAGCCAACATTTTACATAGTCCAGCCTTCCCTTCTGTAGTTTTTAAAACACTCCAGTTAGTTAAATACAATTGACCATGTTGCACTTGATATGAAACTGGTAGGCAAGTTTCCTTAGCTTTAGAAAATTCAAGGCCATGGATATTTCAACCATTATGATATCTCAAGGAAAATCAGTATAATTATACCTCAACATTAACATCTGAAAATCAAATCACACAGCTAAAAAGCATATGAATGTTTTATGGCATTACCTACAGCACAGCAATAACATTTTAACTTGAATTGGACTCTGACTGTCCTGAATTTTAGATAGTTGGACCTAAGCACTGCTGAGATTTTCGTTAGGCCAGTGTAACTACAAATTCCCATGAAAGAAGTTTGGATGATGTCACGTTGAAGATCAGACTTGACATATGAGCCCAAATGGGCTAATCGAGGATCACTCTTCAGAACCAGATTTATAAGCTTAACGAAAGGCACAGAGGAAAAAAAAATGAAAGCTTGCCAGAAGCAAACAGGAAAATGGCTTTCCACTCTCAGTTTTGGTCTAGAAGCAGCAGTCTATTGGATTTATTAGCATAACAGCAAATTAAGGTAATATCTTTAATCCCATAGTTATTTCTTTTCAAAATTTTATTAGACACAACCCAAGTTGCATGCATAATACATTCAGTTAGAAAAAATCTGTTCAATAATTGAGTTCATAAAGGAATAGTTGGAACTCTAATTACACTTGAACACCACCAATTGTCTAATTGGACTAAAGAGAGAGATAGAGATAGAGAGAGAGAGAGAGAGAGAGACCTGTAGGCATCCTCCATCAGTAACTATGAGCCCAACGACCTTAGCTTTCTTTAGTTTGGGTAAAACATTGGTCAGGTAAAAGCTTGGAGGAGCTGAATGTTGGGGTCTGAAAGTTGGAAATTGCTTCTGCTTTCTGGCATCCTTGTGATTTGGGGGAAGATCCTTCACAATGATTACATCAGTTGCTAGAGCTGCAATGAACTGCTCCTCATTGTAGATATATGAAAAGCTTTTGAAGTTGGAACTGCAACTTGCAGATAACAGTTTTAAAATTCACTCAAGCATGCAGATAACTCTAGTTTTTATTCGCTCAAAAACAATAACAACCTGATTCCTTTTGAGCGAATACTTTGTTGAATCTCAGGGATAACAAGGGTAGCATTTAGAAGTCTTGCAACAGCGACCAGGTCACAAATCTAAAATGTTTCTCAACGGTTACAAGCTTTGTGAGGGTAAGAAACGAGGGGAAAAAAGGCACAAGAAAATGCAAACCAATAGAAGAGGAATATTTAAGCATACTGAATTCCTGATCTTCTCAAAGCCCCCAAAGATTTTTGCATAAATGAAGCCATTGTTCTGTGTGATTGGAACTGAGACAATAAAGAAAATGATGTCAAATGGAGGCAACAATAGTACAACTCAAAATAAAGGAAGCAACATCAGGTGATGATACAATACAGGATGTCCAGTATGACATTACCATTAATCAAGGTGAAATGTTAACAGGCATTGCCACATTTTTTGTCACCTTTGACTTTCCTATTGTAAATGCGCAAACACCTACCTTTAGATGTCTGGAAGCAAGCAATAACAGAATATGGACCAAAACTTGAAATTTTCAGGATAAATCCTAAGTTTTGTGGAAAAAGGGTTGATAGTAACACAAAACTTATTCAGAAGAATGAAGACCGAAATGCAAAATATAAACACAAAATCAGAAGTGCCACCATAATATAAGAGAGTAGTTTTCATTGAAGATTATAGCTCGTTCTAAAATACAGCTTTCTTAACCTATCTTTTGCTTGAGAAAAACCTTAGATATTGATCATTTCTAAGCACAGACAAGCGGAATAAACTACCAAAATGAATGTTTGCAAACAAGTTAATGATGCTGAACTAACTAATAACTAGTTATACCCTAACTAATAATTAAAATTAAAATTTCACAAAGTAAAATCTCCGCATTTATGACGCACATTACCAGGATATGCACTTCTTGGTTTCGCATATGGATGCAATCCTTCCAATGCCTTGACCTTTCCCCACAACTTCTTATTCACCGGAACCTATTACCAATTATTCAAAACAACACAACACCATCAAAAATACAGTCATATTCAGATGCTCAAGTAACCTCTTATCCCTAATTTACCTTAACATCTTCAGCAGGAATGAATTGACTCCAACTTTTAGTCATGAATGGAATTCCAGCGTAATGAACAATGTTCGCACTCGACTTTGCAAGAAATAAATGCACTAACAAAGATACAAATGATAACACTAGCCCTCCCAATGCCGCCCATTTTATCTTCGATTTCATCTCCCCCCAAAATTACTCCAAAGAGCCAACAAACAATCTGCCAAAAAAATTAACAAAAATTAATCAGAATAAGCAAAAATAATCAATTTCATAAAACAAAATTAATAACTTGAATTAAGCAAAAACAAAAAAAGGAATCGGTAATATACCAGCAAACTTTGGAGGTAACCAATTTCAAAATTATTGTATTAGGCAATGGCAAGCATGAATAGAAGGAAAAAAGGGCAAATTAGGGTTTAAGAAATTGAAATTCTGAGTTCTGAGCGGAATCGCGAAAACCGAAGCTGGATCGAGATGAGCTAAACGACGCCGAATATACATAACATATATATATCTGTATGTAGGAGAAAGTAGAGTTGGGAATCCGTGTATGTAGAAGGTTTAACTGTGTGAAATCAGAGTGTGTATTTTTGTGTTTGAAGACTCTAAGAGTGTGAAAGAAGCGAAGAAGAAGAAAGAAGAAATGGGGAGCTGCCGAGAGAGTTCAATGCCGGGACTTTAGAATTTAGATTTGGCCCTTTTTTCAAGAATTTAATTTTGGATTTTCTTGCTTTCTTGGATAATTAGATTTGGCCGTCTAATATTTCCTTTTTAGGCAAAATCCTGTTTTTGGGTCCCCCTATTTTGGGTTGGTACGGGGCTTTTTTTTTTGTTTTTTTTTTTTTGTGTGGATACTGTTTGTTTTCAATTTTCATCATACATGCCACCATAAACTATACTATGCCCTTTATGTATTATAGAATTCTGTCTAAAATGATACTAAAATCTTCTCCATGGTTCCTTTTAAGCCTTAAAAATTTCTTGAGCATATAAGCCTTATTGGATGCAAAAAAGGATGATGTTTGAAGTAGAGACATGGGAAAAAAAGAAAAGAAAAAATTTTGGATTATGATTTTTTACAAAAAAAAATTTATATTTTTTGTGAACACATTTTTCAATCACTCTTTTACCTCACATACATTAAATTACTACGGTACATTTTCCTACAAAAACTTCTAAAAATTGCAATCCAATCAAGCTAAAAAGGACTATGCGTTGTTTTCGGAAGCAAGGGAAGATTACCTACACAAAACACTATTCACGTACAAAAATAAAGAAAAACACTGTATATAATGACTACAAGATTCTATAATTGTTTTAACTATAGTATTTGGTGACTAATATGGAAATATTTTAACGAACATTTTGTGATAAATTTGCATGATTCGATGATTGAAATTTTTTGTAGAAATAGATTTATTCATGGTAAAGGTATAAATGACTTGAATTAAACCAAATACTTTTGTTATACTTTTGACAATTGATTGATTTATTTATTAAATTCAACTAAAACGAATTATTAACAAGTTGAGCTCAAATACCTTGAAGTTTTGACATATAAAATTCCAAATTATGCTAATTCAATCAAGATCAAGTCAAGTTTGAAAATTTAATTAACATGGAATGCTCTTTCGTATTTGGGATTTTATGTTGATCCAACCTAGCTCAAATTTTATACTGATATTCGGTTTTGAGATTTTCAACAATTGTTCATTAACACACCTAAGGGTCCATTTGGGATTGCAATAATTTACTGAAAAGTAGTTTATCCAATAGAACTTTTAATGAAGTACTTATTAAATGTTGAAATGCTTTTAAATATATTTTTTGGATACATAATTAAATAAATACTTATTGCATTGAATAATGTATAATTTGAGAATTTTTAAAAGTATTTATCTTTTTTTAGTTCATAATATATGATAAAACGATTAAATTTAATGTTTAAATTATAAAACACAAAAACTATTTTAAAAGCACCAAATTTTAGCTTTTACTAAGAGAGCTTTTAACACCAAAAGTTCCACACTTAATTTTATGGGATGATATTTACTAAACGTCTCAAAACTTAAAAGTAATTTTAGCACTCAAAAATACTTTTTTATCAGAACCATTGCAACCCTCAAACGGCCCTCTGTTTGGATTGCTATTTTATGGAATTTTTATTTAAAAAATGTAATATAGTGATTTGACGTATATAAGGTAAAAAAAAAAAAGATTGAAAAATGTGTTTACGAAAACGTAAAAATGTGTTCAAGGGCAAATATTGGGTCAGTTGTAGCTTGAGGGGAATTTTGCCAATTTAGTCTCTGAATATTTTGACTAAAACTAATTTCGTTCTTGATAAATTGTTTTAACCAATTTAGTCCTTGAATAAGTTTCTTACATCCAATGTAGGACTTTTCACTACATTTTACTCAATCCACGTGGACCTATTGGGGCATAATCATCACACTAGCCTAATCTTTTGCAATTAATCAGCGAAACAGATTAGTAAGATCATTAAAATAAAGGGGTAAGCATCTAGTTTTTGAAGACATTGGGGCTCCTCACAATTTCTCAATTCTCTTTGTGAAGAAGCTCCAATAAGATGCATCCGCGAAGAAACTACCTCAATGATGCATCAAGTTCGAGCAGCTGCCAATAATCAAATCATGAGAATGAAGAAAGTGGAAAATTATCAGAGGTGAAGAGAGGGAAGGTAGATCACTACAATGGAGATGAGGTTGCGTTTTGTGATTGTAATGAATCGTGTCAAATCGCTACTACATGGACATTGTCAAATCTTGGAAGAAGATTCCATGGTTGCAAGAATTATGGGGTATTTTTTTATTTTGTCAATAAATGTGAGGGGAATTTTTTTGGCAATATAATTGGATATGGGTATTTAGTAGTAATTTCTAATTTAGTTCCATTTGCAATAATAAGCAATCTAATTTCTACATCTAATAGGGGTATTAATATTGATTACAACCGCCGAAGGCTTGCAAGTGCTTTTTGTGGTTTGATCCACCAATGTCGAAGATGACGAAAAATATGACGGCAAAATTCTTGAAGGAACCAAGGAAAGCCAAACAAGAGAACCAATTCATAAAAAATTGAACTTGCAAGGTTGGAAGAAGAGAACAAGATGATGAAGGCTGAAATTCAAAAGCTAAAAGATAAGAGCAAATTGATAGTTTTGTTGTCATTTGTTGTGGTTGTTTGTTAACTACTGTGCTTGTTGGCAACGACAAAAGAGGACATGCTGTCTTGGACTTAGGGCTCCAAATGTTAGTCTAGATGAATTAGGGAAGGCTATGTAGTTAGATTTAGCCTTTTGTCCACGAAACTTGCAAAGTTGCTGTGATTGGCCTTAATTTTTTTGGTTATAGTGTGGTTGTAAGGCATTGTAAACCATTTGATGTAGCAATTGTCTAAGTAATATATGCAATGGTTTGACAAATTGAGAAATCTGGATATATGCAAAGGCTATGGCAACTTGGTGTCTAAAAAATATTTGACAGAATTTCACCTTAAAATTTGATATTCCGTTAACATAACTAAACCAAGTATCACTCGACAAATGTCTAGCCAAAAAAAGACAATAGGAAGTTTTCATATAACCAACATGTTCTAGTCGTCCAAAGAGATCAATGCCAAGCTTTTAGTTCATGTCTAGCCAACAAATACAAGCCAAGGTAACATAGGCAGACTTTTACAAAACAGTGACCCGGTTCATTCTCTATGCTTCCCCTACAAGATCAGTACACTATAATTACAATTGCAAGATCTATATTAAGAAAACTTCATTCCCTAAATTCTTTGCTTTCATGAATATCTTGTAGACCTGTAGTACGGTGATGTGTACACTAAGTTCCAAATGCACCTTCTCCTTAAATTCCTTAACAGTCACTTTCTTATTCAACATTAAAAATTTTGCATACTTTCTAGTTAGAAAATCTGAAGTGGCTCTTTCGTGGTAAAATGTCCGGCCATAAGTGCTCAGGTCCCACAGTTTTATATAACTGTGTATAAACGACTGAATAGTAATAGTAATAGTCTATTTAGTCTATTTAGTCTATTTTATTGTATTCCTAAAACTAATCCTTACCTCCAAATGAATTCTATTAAAATCAATTACAAGTTACATTTAAATTAGACTTAACAAAATTAGTCTATTTCTAATAATGCATATAAAAAATGGAAATTAAAAGATGAACAAGTTATAACTTCAATACACCCTCCATTACAAGAAATAAAAATTAATATGGGACAAGGAGAAATTATAGCCTCACCTTTTAAAAAAGGAAGAGAAGCTGAATCAAGTACAAATAATTCAATAAAATAGACCAAATAATAGAAGAAAATTCTACTGAAGAATCAGAAAATTTATCAGAAGAATCAATAGCTTCAGATCTAGAAGAAAATATACTTTCACCAATAGAAAATCAATTTGAAGAAGAAAATAATCAAATAAATCGAATAAAAAGAAAGAATTATAATAACAATAAAAATTGGAAAATAGTAAGTTCAAAAAATTATTATCCTAGACCAAGCCCTCCAGATATTCAATATGAAGAAAGATCACAATTTAGAACTACTAAATATGATGGAGATTCAATCTATGAATGGAATATAGATGGAAAAGCTGAATATGAAGTATTAAATAATTTGCAAGAAATGGGAATGGCAAGACTAGCTTACAAAATTAAAAACATTCAAGAAAGAAATATTGCAACATTATTAGTCTCAGGATTTACTGGACAATTAAAAAATATTTACAAGAAGATTTTGATGATGAAGAAAATACTGAAAAAAGAATTTGGTTTTTTCAATTAGAATCAGATTATAAAGAAAAATTAATTATAGAATGGAAAAATGAAATAGATAAACAAAAGTTTGATTTTCCTTTCTTTACATGGTTATCATTTTATATGTCAAAATTAGGAATAAATGATATATATAATACACCTCAAATAAATGTTCAAACTAATTTATATAAAAAATGGAAATTAAAAGATGAACAAGTTATAACTTCAATACACCCTCCATTACAAGAAATAAAAATTAATATGGGACAAGGAGAAATTATAGCCTCACCTTTTAAGAAAGAAAGAGAAGCTGAATCAAGTACAAATAATTCAATAAATCTAGAAGATCTTAAAAAAGTTTATCAACAAAATAATTATACAAATCAAATTCTACATACAATATCTCAACATATGGTATCATACAAGCAGTTTTAGAATTCCTTTGTAAAATCCTCTCAATCACTCTTACCTACTCCCAACTACTTTCAATCCCTCTTTTCAAACTCTTGTACACAATTGTCAAATATAAAGTCAAGGTTGAAGACTTATATTCTACAAAGCTTCCGTTAGCAACTCAAAGTTATTTGTAAGTCCTAATCTTTATGCTTATTGCACTTTGATTGCAATAAGCATAAAGATTAGGACTTACAAATAACTTTGAGTTGCTAACGGAAGCTTTGTAGAATATAAGTCTTCAACCTTGACTTTATATTTGACAATTGTGTACAAGAGTTTGAAAAGAGGGATTGAAAGTAGTTGGGAGTAGGTAAGAGTGATTGAGAGGATTTTACAAAGGAATTCTAAAACTGCTTGTATGATTTTTGCATTGAATAATCTATTAAGCAAATCTTTTTTATTAGGAATAGGATATCTAATCCATTGTAATACTTTATTTAAAGGT